AGGATTTATCAAATTTAACCTAATTTTTGTTATAGAATTAAATATTCCGAATTTAGCAACCACGTCCGAGTAAAATTTACAATTCAAAACAGCAGAAAGTTTCTGCGAAAAAATAAAAAATAAAAGCACCCTATGTATATTCATTAGATAAACGAATTTTTACTTTTTCCTTTGGAAAAACTGTCTTGGAAATTTGGAAGAATACGACCGGAAAATTTCACATAATTTTTGTCAGATTATTAAAATTTAAATATAGAAGACGTTACAATATTTTCGTTCGCGTTCAGCACCTACGACAATTTATCTACAAGAATATCGAATTCTTGAATCGTTCCTATGGGAAATACAGGATGATCTGGAAAGATAGGCGAAGAATTTATAGAGGTTTTGTGGTTAAAAATTTATGATACATCCTTCTCACGACATTAATACTGTCCTTTAAATGAAGAAAATTTATTATTTCTACCCACAAGTTTTTATCATATTCCTACAAAATTAAGCTTATATATCAATGCATAGACTAAAGCATTTGAACATAATTTGCACATTAATGCAAACAATAGAGTGCACAAAGTATTTGCTCGGCGATAGCTTACAACTCACTAAATATAAATTCAATGCAACATGCCTGGGATGAGTTGAGAATTTAGTTAAGAGAACGCAATAGAACTCGGACAGTTTTGAAAATGTATACAGTTCCATGGCGTGAAGATATTAAAGTTCTGTTGAAATGAAAGATGTCGCACAGCATCGTGTGCATTTAACTTTCGCTCCAATTTCATATGAATTGTTATCTTCGTCTGTGTCAGAGTCCATTTAAAGGTTAAAATTTTGAAGAAATCTAATCTAAAATGGCCACTTTTTGGCCCTTTTCGAAAACTAAACAAAGTATCTGATTTTCACAATGATTTGAAGGCAAATAAAATAAATTTTTACAGAGATAAATCTCATTCTATATAAATTATATGAATTTGTTAAATAAATGTTTAAATCGTTCTTACGTCACCATTGAAAAGGGTTGAAATAGGGTACATATGTATATGCCAACACAATTTCCCAGCGACTCGTAACGCGGTTTGCATACGTTAGGAAAATAAAATCTCAACGATCAAAAGGTTCGCTCGCAAGGTGTACCTTACCTTATATGCGTGTACCTAGTAAAGAAAACACGATACAGGGATAGAGGGAGGTCACAGGACCCCATGAATCATCAAGGAAAATACACCGAGACGAAGAAAACGTTAATGCATGTGCCTTGTAACGTCAATCAAAGCTAATGTCCAGATAATTATAGCGTATAGCATTATGAAAATGGAAAATTCTAGGTTCAAACAACGTCAAAATCCTTCTACTATTTTGCACTTGAAATTCATTTTATTACACTTAAATTTCATATAAGCAACTTTAGCCATTTTTTTGTATGAAAATATCATAATTTTATCTAATACCATAAAATAGATATCTACAATCAGAATAACAAAGACTCAAAAATCTTCAAGTGCAAAATAAATCCTAAGTCAGCGACAATTTCCTACAATAATCTCGCGATATTCTCGTAAAAAGAATGGGATAGAAGTGTTATTTGAAGATAGATATAGGACTGTTTACTTTCATAAGTACCATTAAATATCGTGATTAAAATTTTTAAACGCCGAGTAATAAAAGACACAGCACTCAGTACAGTACTGCTTTATTGGTAACTCTCAGTATGCACTTCATGTTGGTCAAATAAAACTACTCACCTGACCTTTCACCGAGCGCATTGTTTTATAACAATGAAATGTCATAAAAATTGATATTAACTCTCTGCTTTGTATCGCAACTAAAAGTGTACTGTACGAAGTACCCTTGCAAACGCTTTTTATAGTGTAATTCAGGGTTTAGTAAAATCCAGTTAAGATTAGTTGAAAAATTAACGACTTAAAAGTATCACAAAATACCATTTATGGCTAATCAATTCGAAGCTTAAAGTTGGAAGGAAATGATTATAAAAAGGTTTCATTCGTCTGCTGGGTCAGCAAGTACCCAGGCTCTACCGTCTGATGGTTAATCCAAAATTTATTCTCATACAGAGATAACATTACAACGTGGCGAACGGGTCTTCCCGAGTAGCTAAGGTGTTTTTAATTAAATGTCTACTTCTAAATTAACCCTTCAGTTCCAATTGAACTTCATGAAAATGTCTTCAGTTTGTTAAAGAATTTAACACGCTCATACAGACAGTAGAATTGAACACCTAAAAGAAATCATTAATTGCCAATTATTAATTCATGATTCATTACTTTCGAATGAAATGAAGGATAGAAAACTTTAATCTACACTTTGACGATTTTTTCAAGCTGAATATTGCGCAGGACGTGTCAGGATCTTAAATGGGGGAAGTGAAGTGAATAAATTTCGCGCTCTGAACTTTATAACTTCCGTTTAACATTCTCTCTAGAAATGTAAAGTATACCTATCCATCTAATAATCTACTAAATTCTTTTAAACTTCAAAATTTTGTGGGAAATTAACAAGAAAAATGCAAAAAATGATAAGGATATAATTTTTATCTCACATTATCAAAATTATTTATAGTACTAATCTAAAAATAGAAGCAGCATTTTTTGCTCAAACGTTAAACATTGTAAAATGTCCCAGAATTGATGTCCCCTCGAGTTTCACGAAAATAAAATTCTCTATTTCAGTATATCCGTGATATTTGCACGAGATAATGAGATTAAAGAATTTATAACCATCCCTCCAGGTGGAAATTTTGAAACACTACAAACTAGCCATTCAGAGAAACGCAGTGAAACGAAGTTCATCAGTAAACTGCTTCTGCAGTTTGATTAACTTAATTTCGTCGCTCGATTCTGTTATCACTAATCCTTAATGTGACTATTATAAATACATCGCAACTTCCTACACTTGCAAACTCGCTTCATTGTGAACATTTTTATTAAATCATATCTGGTATCTCGTCAAATCTATACAGAATATTTTGAGTATTGACAGGTTGATATATTGGCAGCAGAAGATAACGAGGTTGCAAGGTTTCGCGTGTATTTTAGGTGGCAAGGGAATCGAGGTTGTCCATAGTGTTGGTAGAAACAATAGACTTAAAGCTTTACTCTAGATCTTTGCATCTCTATATTGCCTGGCCGACTGCGTTATCTGGCCAGATGTTGCCGAATTTTAAGCGTAACCAATTTATCGCTTTATATATATTTTGTTTTCATCTATATCCTAGTTTATTCTAGTTACGTAGGCAATGTTGAAAGCTTTTATCGGTTCGCGATAACCGTTAAAAGTTTTTAACGAAAAACTTTATTTCGCGTTGTTATCGAATTTTCCTACGTTATTTCATCGGCTCTATTATTTTGGAATTTTTATCACGGATCGCGAATGAACGGGTTATTGATTAGAATGGACGCGTGAAGGTAATAGAATACTGAAAGAAGCTTTTATAGAGAACAATCCTTTCGATTTTACTTTCATTTTTAACAAGTTCAGCGTCGAAGGTAGGAAAAGGGAAAATTGAAAGTGTGTAAGATTATTTGGATCATTTTGACAGCGGGTGCCTCGAAAAAATATTGAATTTTATTTTTACCTGGGGAAGCTTGATTCAATCGCAAGTATACTAATCGTAATTCATAGACCTTGTCGGTTTAATAGGATGATTATGCAATAAATAAAAGAGAAACAGTTGACATTTTCATTCACTTTTTCTCTTGTTAATATCGTCGACTAGCCGAACCGAGAAATGAAAAGATTACTCTATGATGTTAACCACTCAAAAGATTGACGTCAACATTCACCTTGACGCGTAATGATACTGTTACTGATTACAATGTTGGCAATGGCTTTCTTGAAAGTAATTCACCCGAATCGATTGCTATCACTAATGATTACATGTTATTTTTTCATATTTATCGTAGATGAAATGACGATTAATAGTTGTACGTTAAGTACGAGAGCTGTTCTCCTTTTCGGCTTCGATGCAAAACTAATCTTTGCACGTCTGAGAAATTACATTAAATAATCCTCCAAGATTCTATGTAAAATATTGGAACAGATAATTATTTGTCTCGTCTAAATTAATTGCAAACTAAACAGAAAAGGAGGAGTATGGGTTTTCTAAATACGTCAGAAATGAAATAAGGAATCAAGCTATTAATAAACTGGAATTACCATTGTACAAATTTGACACGACTCTATAATTAATAACCTACTGCAAAGAATAGATTGTATAAGTGATAAAAAGAAGAGAACCTGAATCATTTGAATAGATTTACGTCACGTTCTCAGTAACAATACATTTTTGATGTTTATAAGTATTTTAAATTACATCTACAGTGGAATTACTGTGAAATTTGCGTCATTAAACACTCAAATACACACCTTATCTTCGATAAGGAAAACCTTTTAAATCTTATTATATAAAGGGTTACATCTGGCACAGATAATTTAGTCGTTTTGGTTTACAGCATAAGAGAACATCTTTTTCCAAATTTCTACCTCCAACAAATGTAAGGATAATAGACGAGAAGTTGTGTAATTTTTATGTGGTGCCTTTTTTTAATTTGATTAATTCATAACATACATCAATTAATGACTTGACGAATTAAATTTTCTCCATAACGAAATAATATATTAAAATATTTTTCATTTATTTTCTCAAGAAGAATCAATTCTTGTTAATTATAAAATAAATCTTCAATTGAAAAGATAGAAAAGACAGAGTTAATTAGTAAGTAAAGGTGACGATTTAACATTGAACACCTGTCCGACTACCTGAATTAAGCTGACTTTGTGTCTTCACGACGTCCTTGTAAATATCGAGGTGATGTACAAAGCAGCTCGATAAAAGCAAGCCACGATTACTTTTTACTGGCGAGATAAAATAAGGGTCGGTCGGACGAGACAATCGACCCTGATCGTCATTCGATCGAAAATGAATATTAACACCATGGATATACGAGCACGCTAAACACCCCCCTTTTTTCTCTATGTTATAGATTAACAAGATGTCACTGTCAGAGTTCCGTAAAAAGAAGTTACTCTACGTTTTCAACACCTTCTTCGGTGAGTAAAAGATTTCTTTTTTAAATTTAATATTGCTGTGTATGTATCGATGATAGTCGTACACGTGTACAATAGTAGTTAATTAACGTAATTATTCTTTACCTTACAATTTTGAAAACATTGTGGTAGCTTTAAAATTCTTCTGAAAAATTCAAGCAATTTTCTCTACTGGCAAATGATATATCCACTTCCTCTCGGCTTTAATCGAATTCCTCAATTTCGGAGGAAAAATCACGTTATCCTTAGCAACATCTTCGGGTACACAAAGAACATTTTCAGCCGAATGGTCAGCATTGCTGTTAACATTCCGGGTAATCCGATTCCGTGCCAATTACTTCGGTACCCTCAACGACTCCTAATTGTCCCAAGAACGTTATCTCCGGTGTTCACTCGAACGAACATCCTTAGCCATCATTCTAGTCCCGATACGGCGAGCTTTCATCGCCAGTTGGCCAGTATTTTTCCCGAGAAGTGGAGGAGCCAGTCGCTTGGTAACGAAATAGCAAAACTGATTGCCGTTCTCTCCCTCGATTCTAACGTGCTCTTCTTCGAACCCGCGTCAACAATCTTATTCCACTTTCGGTCCTTCCTTTTCGAGGCTATCGCGTGAACCGACTGCCAGCGATACTCCCTTCCAGTGAAATGAAATACCGACCATCCTGTGTAGGGTGGTCGTCATCATCCCCTTGGGTATTTTTTTCGGGGGTTGAAAACGGAATCAAGGTTGTACAGGGAGGCGTTTTGTTCGGTCTCTCTATGGCACCTATGTGTTGGCCAGTCGGCTAAAAGTGAGCCAACCTCGGACACCTATTTATGGTATGGAACAAGAACAGATAAACAATGGATGCGGTTAAAGGGGGATGTCTTGCTGCTGGTGAAATTACACGTTCCTGTTTATGTGCGCGTATCTTTCGCATAGATGCATCTGTGTACAGGGGCAATCATTCATGAGTTGGATGCAGTTTTGTGGCTTGTGCGCGCATTCGAGAGAAACGTCAGTTACAGGACATCTTCGTCGCGCGGTTTGGCAAGTATCCTCGATGCACATTGCGGTTCATAAATACTAGGATACTTATAAAATTTCAAGTGTATAAAATAATATTAAAGATATCAAGGAAACCTTTACACAATTATTTTCGTTAAATCTTAAGCTTCAAATCGATGTATCGCAAGTTTTATTTCGTAGTAGTTTTAATTTATCAATGTCACGCGTCGCGAAAGTATCACGGGCATGAATAATAAGCTGGCGTAAATATTACGCGTAATTAACGAACGAAACTTACGAATAAAGTGGTAGATGTGAACAGGTGTGCATCGAGAACTGCGTTACCAGTATATGCGATCCTAGCAGCCCGAGCTTGTTCGTGTGAAGCATGGAGGTCACAGGCGTGTACACGCTTGGCGGACCTCATTAGCCCCTCACTTTCTTTCCTTCTTTGACCGTCGATCGGCTGCTAAACATATCCCACAGGGCTGTTCTTCGCCGTCGATACGGTATTTCACCGTGACCCAGAGAATGCCGTGAACGACGTTAGGTAAATCGTGGAATCTCCGCTTGTCATTCAAGCTTATAAATGATCGCACGTGTTTCAAGCCTGCATTTACTACAGTGGATGATCAAATTATGATCAGACGAAAAGAAATCTCATGGCGATTGCACCAAATTTAGTACAAGAGTGGGTGGGAGGTTCTTTGACAGAAGAAGCTACATGATATACTTTTCACATATTTTTGAAAGTATATAAGTTCGAAGTTTCTCTTCAGAAAGGACGCACTTCCGGATCTATGTTTATATGACCTTTTATCTTCTTTAGGGGAAGTAGAAAAAGCTAACAAAGTTTGGCCACCTATTTTTCTACCACCTTTTATAATAATCCACATTTATTGATAATATCTCCGGAAAATTTTGAAAAATTTTCTCTCGAGCAAGGAATTCTCAAAGCACGAATTAACGACAACCTTCTGAAATAAATATTTAAACCAAATTAACCAAAGTCTTAGGATTCATTGTGAAAACGACAATTGACAAACAGGAAGTCTCGAGATCCAGGAGGGTGGAGGGATAGACACCTGAATGAAGAAGAAAAGTCGTAGCAGAGTGAGCCAGGAAAATTGGGTCGAGTCGCGAAAATTAATGACATCCGATTCAAACGACGACGACGACGACCTTGTCGTCGAAGAATGAATGGCACGATCGACGAGGGGCTCGTCTTTTCGAACGGGTCCGTCGTGAAATCTTGCGCACAGCTCTCTCGCTGGATACAGGCCAAAATTCCATCCCTCTGCCCACCAACACCTGACTCACGCCCATATTTCATTACATCGATTCCTTGTCACGTGTTTTGCCTACGTGATCGAGCCCCTTTTCCCCGTGGAAAGCTTTCCACCGAAGCTTGAACGCGACCACCGAAGGGTTTTGTTTCGATCATCGGCGCGTACCCGAGCGATAAGCTGACGGTGCTAATGGTAGCCGAAACCAACCATTTAATGTTAACGCCGTGAACTTAATGCGGATGATGCCTTTGACACCGTCTTGACATAATGTTGGACGTGCCGCAATTTATCTCCGGGATTATACTTCTTTCCTTGGATACCAGCCAAGCTTCACTTGCATCTTTACTTATTTAGTACTTGCAATTTCACAGTGAGCTTAATAATTGCGTGAAAAAATCGTATAGAATTATACTCATTTTTGGCATTGTACTAATCATTAATTTTCCTTTTTCTTTTTTTTTAATGCTTTCAGATGTCAATCAAAGTGGCACGATCGATAGGAAGGATTTCGATCTTGCTATACAAGTAAGTTGTAGAAAAATGTGCTATTTTTTTTTTTCATTAAGAATGATATGAATAATTTCTTTTTTCTGTTATAGCGAATCAATGAAAATAGAGGATGGAGTGCTGACAATCCCAAAGCTCAAAGTATAAAAGAAAATTTACTGAAAATGTGGGAGGGTTTGAGGTCAAGAGCTGATACAGATCAAGATGGCCAGGTAATAAATTTTGAAAATTTATGTAGAAAAATGTTTTAACACTGGCAGGGTGGACATGGCACCTCATTATTTTAAAATTCTATTATTTTGAAAATTTATTATTTTAATTCCACTTCATTCAATTACACCCGCTTGTTATTTCATTTCGATCCCCGTGTAAATTTCAGAAATACAATCAAACGATATTTTTACTCAGGAATTTTAGTTTCCGGTTATATTTTTCAGGTTAGCCGAGATGAATGGTTTTCACTGTGGGAAGAATACGCAAAAAATCCATCGAACCCATCCGAATGGCAACAAACATACATGACTTTAACGTTCCAGTTATTCGATGCATCTGGTAAGCTTATTATACTTTCAATTTCTCAGAACAATGGAAAATTTTCGCTGCATTGTTCTTTGATAGTTTGCTAAGTTTGCTAAGTTCACTAAACTTTCTACGATTTCTCGCTGAGAACACAACCGAACACAGTTTCAAAATATTACAAATGCAATGCAGCACAATGCACCAAGGTTACACTGCACATAATGCACTTTCAGATGGCAAATAACTGATTAGAAAATCAATTAAAAAAGAAAATTTCACGCACCCCTTTAATATAATACCACCCGAAGAAAGCATACCGATTCAATAAATAAATTTTCCAGAAATCAATTAAAACGTTAACGAAATTACTAATTAACCAAAGAATGTATCGTTATTGTTAATTCAGGTGACAAATCGATCGACGAGAACGAATTCTGCAACGTGTGCAGATATCACGGGGTGGCAGAGACCGAGGCCAGGGATGCTTTCAAAAAACTAGGGGTGGTAAGCGTAAATCATAATTAACACAATTACACGAAAACACCCTCACCCGTGGGACACTAATTCCATCAAACTATTCCTCTTTTGTATAGGGTCAGGAAATGAACTGGGATAAATTCACCAACCTCTGGAAGCAATATTTCTCCTCGGACGAGCCAACCGCAGCCGGAAACTTTATTTTCGGGAAAACTTCCTTCTAACTCGTTTATTTTTTTTTTTCCACCCCCCCACGGAATTCGAATACGTATACTGCACTTCCTTGCGTCGCATTTTCTTTTTCATTGTAATTTTTTAATTCACCCTAAGACGAACTCGATTAAATCTCTTTTCCTTTCAACAACGAATTAAATATATTTAATTTCTTGATAATTTGAAGTTTCAACTACTTTCTACCCTCTTGGCGTTGTAAATAATCATCCCCGTGAATTCGATTATTCACGAACGGATGATATGCTCGACAAATAATATCGTTTCTATCCGCTGGATAAAAATGGCGGCAATTAAGTATATCTCATTGTATGTTTGTATATGTAGAGTATTTAAATGTAAGAGAGCAAAAGAACTCTAATGATCGTGACATGTGCAAAGTCTTGTTCGTTCAGTGTCAAAAAATCGTTGTGCTTTCGAACGAGATATAAATATTTCCCTCCATTATTGAACAAACGATATTCGCAGAGTTTAAGTGTAGCTTCAATGTTTTCGTGTAACATTGGAAACAAAGTCGACGTGGGGCAGTGTTTAAAGAAAAAGAAAAAAAAATCTTCGTGTAATTATCGGCAGGAGAATTAGAAGAGATTAAAAAAAAAAAAAAGGTTTTAAATGTTGGCTTAATTATCGTGTAAGAAGCATCGCAGAAATGAAACGTTATATTTTAAAAGCGTCAATATCGTCGTAAATGTGTCTTATATAGACATTATTATATGCTGTTATACTAATAAGGAAACAGATCAAAGTGTCTACGTTTGATTTTAATGAATATTTGCAAATTTGGTAATTAGATCGAAATAAACGACGCAAATTTTTTGCAGCTAGTCAATTTCAACTTTAGAGGGTGAAATTATCCTCTAAAGTTGTAGCTAAAAAATACTAAATGTTTCAAAAACTATCATAGATATAAGAATTGATGGTAAGTATTAATTTAATTAAGCAGCTATAATATACCTCAACTGTTTAATAATTTTATAAAATTTCGTCAAAATTGAAAATGGATGCTTTGATATATTTTCTTGTAAGAAGTGCAGAGGAACGTACGTATATCTTACAGAAATATATAAATATAAATATACAAATGAATACATATTATATTTGAACGACAGAGTTATCAATAAATTGTAATGAAAGAGATTTTTAAATTTTAATCGATGTTGACTTGAAGATGCAGCCAGGGAATTAAACAGTTGGTACATATTCGAATTTTGAAAAGTTCAATTCTCTATTGCTCGATGAAATTTTTAATTCAGCGTAAAAAGAAATTAAAATTTGATGAAATGAAATGATCATTTAATCCATCAAAAGTGGGCAATTGAGGAACATTAATGAAAAGTAATAAATCAAAATACGATTACTCACACACACTCGTATTCGTACAATTCTGAAGATTATATTTTGATTTCTACATCGTGCTACAATAATAGATTGGATTTTAATACCATGTGCTTTTCAATTAGCCGCTTTGTTTCAGATTACTCATCAGTTCATTGTTACAACTTTTTTTTATTTATTTGAGATAGAATTATAGAAAAGAAATACGATTGTACGAATACGATTGAGAGAGATTTAATTGTACCCTTTCAAACTTGTCCTGTGCTTCAAGGTATCAAACACTAACGTTGTTCCGTGATTTAACATAGTGTATTATGTAATCCTGAATGTACAATAAAAAGAAATTGAAAATATCTACGCGGAAATTGGTTTTGATTGAGGTCCTGTAAGCGAACACGAGTAAAGATACAATGAACTATGTTAAACCTTGTTAGACTTTGTTGTTAAATATTTTTCTTACGATATCTAACTGATTGTAATTTAGAGAAATAATACTTGAAATATTATTTTGCAAGTTTACCTACACGGAATGCTTAATAATTGATGGTATAAACAGAAAAACGAAGTTTTTATTTTCATTACTATCAATCGAATGTTTAATAATTATCGAGCAAGTTGTTTTTTAAATATATCATTTAAGATAATTTCAGGAATCACTATGGAATTTTTATTGATTGCACGAGTACTCGAAAATTATTCAAAATATACAAACATTTTAGTTGAAATAGTAATAATATTATATATTTTCTGTCTCTTTCTATTATACCATTAATTAGCAGGCATATCTCGTACATATCATTACACCAATTATAAAATAAAATGGTATTCAATTATTATATTAAAAATATATTCGAACGCTTCAGATGAGTTTATAATTAATGCACTGTATGAAGAACGAGGAAAAATTATCGAAGAGAAGAAAACTTTATCGACATGTTACGAGAACGACAGCTCAATTTGTAATAATAAGTTTTAAACTCAACACGAATTCTAGCATCAAGGGCACGGATTATCGTAAAATATGCTTCCGGAATTTGTTTCTATTATCAATCACTGCCCGTGAAGGTATGCCTGTTTCTATACGCATTGATGAATAAGTAAACCCGTCGGGTACGATCTGTTTACTCTGGAAGCCGAGTTAATTACGACCCAAATCTTTCTAATGTTTCATCAATTAGAAAAATAATATTTAAAGAAATAGTATACAATTTAACGAATCTAAAATTGAATTTAAATTATAAATCATTAGGTCAGTAATAGCCCGGCTTCATACTAAGAGGGTTGAAAAGCGATTTATTGCAGCGAAAAATAAAAGAATTAAAGAATGAACGAGAACGATTCACAATCGTGAATTTAATTGGCGAAAGGGTAATACCGTGCCCATTCGTTGTGAAAAACACAAGGGATATTGCTGTCTCTCGAATTCGATATACAATAAATATGTTAATGGTGTTACTGACTCTTTTTGTGAAACGTGCCGATAACAGCACAAGCGAAACTATGTAAAAAATCAAATGCACGTTACTCTTGAAATAAAGGTGTCTATGGACTTCAATTCCACTATCTACCTATGATTTTTCCTTATTGTACAGCACTGAGAATAGTAGACTTACCGGGTTCCTGATCCTCGCTGTAGATCACCCCTTTCCCGGGTCTTACAAGGGGAACTACCCAAGTGTTACACTCACTTATTAATGAAACTTTGCCAGCTTGTAGAGCTCGTCGAGCTGAACACGCCTATACCCCCGTTTGGGGGCAGACGGCTAATTGTTTAAAAGATATTAACAATTACAGTTAGTTACTCCTTACATTCTGAAGTATGACAAACTCACACATACAACTCGCAATCTAGAGATCCACGGTTCAAATCCTTGGTTCCCAACATTTTTTTTTTTTTAATGACAATTTGTCTCTTTTTGAATAACTGTTACATAAAAATTATCATTATAAAAAAAAAAAAAAAAAAATGGGAACCCGGGATTTGAACCGAGGACCTTCAAGTTGGAAGTCACTGATCTGCTCCGTGGTTAAACACATGACTCGTAATCTAAAGGTCCTCGGTTCAAATCCTTGGTTCCCAAAAATTTTTTTTTTTTTTTTATGATAATTTTTATGTAATAGTTATTCAAAAAGAGACAAATTATCATTAAAAACAAAAAAAAAATGTTGGGAACCAAGGATTTGAACCGTGGATCTCTAGATTGCGAATTGTATGTGTGAGTTTGTCATACTTCAGAATGTAAGGTGTAACTAACTGTAATTGTTAATATCTTTTAAACAATTGCGTGTTCAGCTCGACCAGCTCTACAAGGTGGCAAAGTTTCATTAATAAGTGATTGTAACACTTGGGTAGTTCTCCTTGTTAGCCGTAGTTCCTAGTCCCCGCCGTAGGGCGCTCTGTCTATTATCTCCCGCCTTTCTGCTCCGATGGCCGAGTTGCTTATGCTGAAAAATGTACATTAATATTTGTATTATTTATTCCAAATTTTTATTTATTTACTACTACTTTGTACCATTTTGTACTACTTTGTACTACTTTATACCACTCCTTATATACTAACTTCTTCTAATTCTCTGTTATTATCAACATCGTCAAGATTAAAGTTTTGTAAATTTTTACTTTCTCTGTAATGTCTTTTTTATGAAGGAAGCCTACTGTGCTCGATATTGTTCATTATATATTAAATGTAATCATCTTACGAGTATAATTATCAGTTAAAGTGTAAATATTCAAGCAGAGTAGCTTACGAATCATATTGCGAATGAAAGCATAAAATCTTAAAACATACCGTCTCATCTCTGCGTTCTGGTATTGCATCAGACAGATGACTTTGTTTTTCACCTCACAGCTAATCGTAATATTCTTTTTTTAAACACTTTAACACTTGAAAAATGTTGACATTTGGACTAACAAACGCGCAAAACAGCGTTACCGCCATACTAATAAATAGAGGGAAACGGAACGATTAATCGATATACGGTTCGATTGTTGAATAACTGTGACATTGGACAAGCGTCAAACTGGTAGCACCATCTTACTATAGGAATACAAAGTATTTGTTGCTTGATTATGTTTCGCGGTGGGAAGATTTGAAAACAAGATATGCAGGAAAATTCGGTGAGTATTTCATTTCACCAAAATTAATTTAGTATTTTCTACTGATTTGTACTATCAACCTTCTGGCTATGCGGTTAATCCATTATCCAGCGTTTTATTGTTATATAATACTATACTTTTAACCTAAAAGTTTTCCGTTCCTGTTCGAATCCCTCGTAATATATATATATATATAGTTAGTATTTAAAATGCGAATTCATTTCGCTGGTATCTTATCTGTAACACTCATCAGATAAACGAAAAACTTTATATGCCACCTTCTTGGATCAGAGCTCAGTATTAATCTTACTGTAGGAAGACTCACTATGGTTGACCCAATCACTACATGCGACATTGCATATTACTCTGAAGCCTTACAGCCCTACACGTTCTTCTATTTATACACAATAATATCTGTCAATGCAAACTGTAGCTTTAGTTATTGTTAGAGTGAATAATATATGTAAATGTAGCGAGTGAAAAGTGTATTGCATGATTCTAACGCGTTGATTATCCACTTAAAGTTACTGCCCCCTGAGGTGATATAAGTCAAGGCATAATGTAAGTATTATAATTAAAGATTCTTCATTTATAAGTCATTTTGTAAATGTTTTATGAATTTTCACAGCATAGTGTTTAAGAGCATAATAATAAAATAAATGATAGAAACTAAATACTAATAATATAGAGACTTATATTGATCCTCATTAATATTAATAATCTATTATATCTGACCTGTTATTTAATGATAATTTTAAATACCAACTTTACTTTCAAAACTATGTTGCATGTATGTAATAAACTCTTGTTAATACAACTGATAGATTCTAAAAATTAAATATTGATGCAGATTCAAATCTTTAATGTGGGAATATATGATATTACTACATTAAATAGAATAACCCTTTTACAGGTTGGATTACAGTAATGAGTTAGAATTACAAAAAGAAGCAGACGAGGTGGAACAATTTGCCATGACTTCATTAGGAAAACTAATATTTGTAGACTTACACTGTAGGCAACCAAAGTCTTTATCTTCTGATAAACCATCTTTAGATATTATTGATTCCTTATCCCTTGCTTTTGAAAATCTGTTTTATATGCCATTTGACATCATTGAAAATTATGGTAGTACTTTACGTACACTGGATATTAGCCATAATAAATTTAGTAGGTAGGTATATCTTATCTAAAATATTTATACATGTTATTTTAAAATTGTACATGTATAAATAAATACTAAGTGCAATTAAAAAATTTTGAATAAGATGCACATTCTTCATTGCCTGTTTAGAAACTTACAGTTCTTGGCTGAATTTGAGAATTTAACATCTCTCAACTTAGATCACAATAACATAGATGATCACACTGTATTTCCACATATGCCAAAACTTCAACTTCTGTGGTTAAATCATAATAACATAGAAGAACTGTATCCATTTGTTAAGAATCTCTATGAGAGTGTACCCAATCTTAGATATTTATGTCTTATGGGTAATAAGGCAGCACCAAGTTATTTAAATGGTGGAAGTTTTTATGATTATCTTCAATACAGGTATGAAAACAGAATGGTGCTAAATTTAGAACTAGTAACGTTGTACCGTTTTTGTGTTTTGAGATAAATGTTTTTTGAAAAAAGGTTGTACATCATATCTTGGTTTCCTCATTTGGTACATTTGGATGACCGAATCGTAACTTCGGAACAACGTCAGGAAGCAAGAAGACTTTTCAAGCGACCATTCTTAGAAAATTTGACTGAACATGCTCCTCTTCCAGAGTGCATTAAACATCTGCACAATAAATTAACAAACATGTTCTCAAAACCAACACTGCCTTATAAGTTGAAACCAAGAGGAACAAACTTTATTATTTAATGCAGTATTAAAGTTGTTAATATAATTCAACTTGAAAGTTATCTACTTTTATCAAAGTAGCATAACATTTCTAGAAGGATACAGGTTTTTATTTAGCGTAAAATAATATTTATGAAAAAAAAAGCGTATGGTTTTACTTCGTATACAAATAAATAATACACGGAAACAAGCACTTGGGGCAGTAACAGATAAGTGTATACTGAAGTACATCACTTTTTTTTTAATACTTCCGTCTAAACAATATGATTAAATCATTTGTATGTAAACAATAAAAATTTTAGGTCAAATATAATGTCAACAAAAACGTATTTAATTATACAACAGTTTATATATAAATACTACTGAATTGTAATTCAGAGAGTACTCGTTCTATTTTGCAATAATTTTTTATAAACGTTGTATAATAATACCTTTTGTACAGTGTATTACGCTTGTATGTATTTGCTCAGAAAAATTTTATATCAATGGTAGTAACGAATAAAAACTTTTAATACAAAATATAACACGTTTTTAGAATTTTATCCTTCTTTTTTATCTTTATTTTTGACGATTTTCTTATATAAACTTTCAGATATGAATTACGTAAACTATATTTATTAAAATTATTCTTTCTTGACATAACAGAGTCGAAAATGATTACAAGTTTCAACGATAAACTTGAGTCTTGTATGCTGATCACCTCAGGTGATTGCGCTTTATCTTTACGAAATTGTTTAAACTGATTAAGTATTTTTTTCCTTTAAGAAGAAACAATGAATTCAGTCATTCACAGTCAATCAATTTTTCCATCCATTAAAAGAATAAAATTGCAAATGTCATGTACACAAATTATCTTTTGTTTATTTGTTTTTGTTTTTTAACAATTGTGTACTAATTTCAGCGACAAAGAGTATCGAGCTTCAGATACGAATCTACCGTGTTTCATCAGTTAATGCAATACCGTGATAAAATAAAAATTTTGTCATTATTAAGACAAACATCAATTTATAAAAAAGGTAGTTCTTTCCTGAAGCAACTGGAGGAATACATCAGTAGTCATAATAAAAAATAAACATTAGCAAACGTCTGTTATTTTGTTCATTTATATCTGAAACTTGACTGTGTTTGAAGAAGTTAATGATAAAAACTTTCTCTCAGAATTTTTTCTGATGAACCCTTTCAGAGCATTGATTCGATATTTCTTCCTCTAATAGGGGACGTTGTTCAGACAGTCGTAAACACGTGTAAGATAACAAAAGTTTATTGAACGTGTTGGGATAAGTCGTAAATTCCGTTTTACGCCAGAATGTTTTGCAAATAAACGGTGACTCGATAACCCGTTCAATAAACCGTGCAATAGTATCACGTTATAAATTAAAACATTTGGGGCTTTAATAAATCATTCTTTCCTTAGATTTTGTGCCAATTTACAGTCATTTGTTCTGAATTTATTGAAAATTTGGAATTTGAAATATTTCAAAGTATGTCAAGAGTTTCTATGAGCTGAGCTATTTTTATTCGAAGCTTTAATCTCTTATCAATCACCGATTGATATCGCTGTTTGTACGACTGTCTCCATGATTACAATGGAAGTCACTGATATTACCTATAGTAATTCATAATTAGTGGGAAATGTATATCGTTTGCAGGTGCAAGTTTCCTATCACTTGTTTTTCATTTCTGTCTCTGCTGATTATACTAATTAGCAATTATTTTTCATTCATTTTAATACACGAAACGAATAAACAACGTTTTAATAATAAAAATTGGGATAATCATATCATCTTTTCAAGGACTCCTTCATTATTATTTATTTAATTCCTTGTGAAAGGAAAAATTAAAGTACTTACGTTTTTATATCCCCTGATCTCCTAAACAAACAAAATCATTACAAAAAATAATTAATTTCATTCATATCATCTCGTAAGAGTTTTTTTCCAACAAGCTTATATTAACTATTATCTTAATCAATAATACTTTTGTGTATCAGGCTAATTATATTTAACTAATATGTACCGTATATTTGGTAATAAAATAACAAAAATCTCCGAAAACAATTGATCGTATATTATTTTTTGTAATGAGAGAATGGTATACTTTGATGTTTCGTCAGTTCGGGTGCATAGTCTTTCCATAACGAGAGATCCAACGATGGAATGTTTTCACAATTTACGATGGGATTACTGAAATTAACGAGTGCTCTTAATCGGATGAAACAGTCATTAAATCATAAGGAGTCTTACTACGAAGAAAGAGGAAGCTTACGATGAAGATACTCGTTCGAATCCCCTTGGCTGCATTTTTGTGATGTGATCACCGTTATCGCAGAATAACCTGGATATACTTGCCTTTCGAATTTCGTTTAATTGTTCTGCAAAATACGTGATAAATATTCAATTTAACAAATTATCAGCCAGCGATGGATCAAGGAGAGATCTAAGTGAGGCTACAGTCCCAAGCTCCAGGAGTCCTAAAGTGTTCTCTGATACATAAATAATAAAAAGAAACATTTACCTATAGTGAAGGCTGTATCATGATCACCTCTTTCATACCAGAAGCGATCACCCACTCGTGTTTTATAAAATTGCCTAATAAGAATGCATAATAAGGTGGGACCAGTCAGTGTTCCAGGCACGTGTCGTTCTAATGATCCTCCAACAGTTATCTCGACGTCATCGGGGCTGGCATACAGCTGCGATAACTTTTCCACGTTCTATTAAAAACAATCATTTTTCATTTATGATAATCTCGTAAAAGTTCTTTCCCTGTAAGCACCGTGCTTTTCTTTCTATTACTACACGCAACGAATACAAAATGAATAAACGATGAATGAAAATTTATATATTGTCGAGCACGATTTACTGGAGGCGTAGTGAATATAAACAGGTTCAACCTGAGACTTCGGACGTCTAGTTTTTGAAATATTTGCATATCATAACAGTATGACGATTGCACTTACTGAGGGAGAAATGTAATCCGTGAAGTCGACGAAGTGTTTCGCTCTAGGCAGACCGCAATACTCCCGGAAACTGTTGTACGACGCGAGACCGTGATCGCGATTTCTTTGAATGTCCGTTGCTCGAAGGTCGGATCCCAATGGCCTTCCGTTTCTAAATAAGTATTGGGTAATCTGGAACAGATTGAAATTTCACGTGAGAAAATTGTACGATAAGGAGTTCAACGTTTCGTCTACCTCGAGATCGAAAAATTGATCGCTGGCTTTTTGAGGCTGGAAAGACAGTCCTCTCGTTAGATCATCCATATTATTGTGTTCTTCGATGACTCCTGGTCTGTTGAAATGATCGCTTAGCCTCAAAGCACCGTTCGAATATCGGTGTTCATTCACCAAACTGAAGAATTTACGAGAAACAATGGAAAGATAATTCTTTTGTTCATCCTCCTAATTAACGATTAAACTTACTTAAGAAAACCAGCGACAAGAGAATGAAAATATCTGAAAGCTGCGGTCGAATGTTCGTTCAAAGTACTTGGATCCACCTTTGGATCATAATCGTTCACGTAATCTTTTGTATCGTACAAAATTTTGTTACCATACGTGGCTTCGATACCTAAAAGAAAATGATGTTTAAATCAGCGTATCTATTTCAATACATTCGTCACTTTTCGACGATTGTACCTAAAAATATTGGCAGCCATTCGTAATACGAAATGTGTTGGTGCTCCGCGATTGTGATTCGCCTAGTCTCTTGGAAAATTGTTTCATCTGTCCAGTGTGGATTCAAATGAGCCAAAGCATCGGCAATACGATTATGCTCCCTAAGTAATATTATCTGTAAAACGGTCAGCTGGGTATTCTGATTGACGCGAGTATCACCTGCAACGTGTACGCATACATTTAGAGGTGGTGAACTATTAATAATTGATAATTAAAACACGTGGTCCCATACAACCGGTAGTCTTAGAATTTTTAATTTATCATAGCTCACCAGCTTGATAACAAACTTCATCATAATCCGTGTTCTCACAAGATTGACTCTTGTTTGTCGCTGCAGGAGGCCATTCCCTATTATCCCTGACATCCACGTTTAAACGTCCACCGGCTCCAGCTCTCAAGCTAATTGCTACTTGATCGCTGGATCCGTAAACCAGCGAGAGATCCATGAAATGTGTAACGATGGTTAACTGAAAAATCATGAAGATCCATGTTAGAGAAATTAAGATAGGGTGGAGGGTGCCATCTAACTGAGCCAAGCTCAAAAATTATTTTACAACCCCCTTTGATACCGGCACCTACAGATAGGAAATTCAAGATTCAGTGTAACTGATATCTCTGATATTTACATGATATCCGAGCAGCCTGCTTTTCAAGATACGATACTCTTGGTACTCGTGGATGAGGTAACAAATGAATGAATAAGGTCACCCAAGTGTGAGGAATAGCAAACCTGTTCTGCTGGTTTGGATTGCGAGGAACAGCCACGGTCAAGATCAGTTGTACTACGAACAAAGTTGAGACATCTTATGTTGGCCTTGCTGAATACAGGGTCGTCGTAAGGAATAAGAATGGGGTAACATTGTTCGGCACTCTGCGATGGGTGAATTAATTGTCCATCATCGGTGCAGCACTGTGTCGCGTGTGGTTCTGTGATTTAAAATATAATAACAATACCTCAATCATTTTATCGAAGGAAAATTAGAAAGGGTTGAATTTACTTGATTGGGTTGTTCCATCGATCAACCCCATATCGTGGGTAATAATTTGGCCCCATTGCATTGCCGCTAGTGTCCATATTGGATCGTTAATGTCGACATGTGGAAACATGGTATAGCTGACCATACGAGAAAGTGGTAATTTTGTTCCAGTCACTGAAATCGTTGGCGATCGTACACCTGTACAAATTGAACAATTAACACTGCATTAGTATTAGGGTATTACATTAGATCTGAGCAATAGTTATTTTCACTGTTCTATTTATAAAAGTGTAATGGTTAAAATTAATTGCCTATTAAAAATCCTGTGATTCATCGACTGGAATATGGAATTCTAGCTTTAGGTTTATTTTAAACAAACAGTATACCGAATGGAAAACTTCTACCGACTTGTCGCAGGGATAGAACCGGAAGACAAAGCACACTTTCGCGTAATGTTCGCGTGAAGAACAGGAATTCGAATTCGTTCCTTAGAAAGCGCAACAATTGCAAAACTTGTTTGTCACGAAACGAACGCGTCGACGAACGATTGTATAATAAAGTGAGACGCGGTCCATTCGTCATTCTTTCATTGGTATTTTCACTGTATCACGATTTGATATTTTCTTGCACAGTTGTTTCCCCATCTACGAATTGGGTATGTTAAAAATGTCTCTAGAACGATTAATACCATTACCATATATGAAACTGTTAACCAGTATTCCCAGAACTCCATCAAAGAAAAGTGAAAATTGTATCGGTATTTTCTTCTCTAAAGAAGCTTTCTTTACTTGAGGATAATGAACCTGATTTATCATTCTTTTACCCCTAGCAAACATTTACCTTCAGAGAATTTCGCTTTTTAAAGGGTAAAATATGGTTTGCAAATGTTCGGTTCTCTATCACTCGAGAATTTTCAAAATGATCGCAACGGGTTTACGAGTATTAGCACAATATTGTTAAATCTATAAAGTGGAAGGCAGGTCGTTTCCTATGCAAGCATACAAATCACGTTCACCTGCGTTCGTTCTACTGAAATCGAAACAAGTTTCTGTGAAAGTAGATATTTGTCACGGGTGACATTAAATGCAAATGCAACAACGTGGTTTTAGGAGTTCGTAAGTTCATAACTTATTAAAATGTTTCTTTAATATTTAATATTTTCTAGAGTCTCTTATATTCATTTTCCTGAGTTGACAGAAATGTTTTAAGAATCTCAGCCTCGTAATTCTTCATTCTTTTCCGCTTGAACCTTCAGGCGTTTACAGAAAGACATTAATCACGGCATAATATCATTAGCCTGAAGTAACCGCGGATTTTGCATCGCAATCCTTTTAACGATCCCGCTGAAACTGACCCGCTTTTATTCAACATTTATACGAAACGAAGCGTGTCAGGTTAAAAAAAAAATTAATTGGCGTTTGAAAACAGTGGTGATAAATTGAAAGGAATTTAGTCGATCAAATCCAAACGCGATGACGTTTCAGTTATTTCATCATAAAAACGCGTAACATTCGTGAAATCGAATTTTTGGGAAAATGAAAAAATTCTTTTGGTAAGAGTGTTCGATGAAAATATTGGCATCGACAGCTGATTAATCAGAAAGGTAAAATTTTAAGGGATGGAAAAAAGTTGGTGTATTCTTACCATCTCCATAATTTGCTGGTAGAAGTCGTCCGTATCTGGTGTTTGCCATACCCCACGTGGGATTATGAAGATTATTGCATGAACCATCGAATGATCTATATCGCGATTTTTCGCAGATACCCGGAAATCGATCTCCGCATGATATGTCTCGATGAATATCATAATTCGTATTCAGTGAAGAACCATACGAGAAACTATTATTTATAAAAATAATAGTACATTACTAACGAAATGGTTAATTCAAACATTATTAACATAGTTATTAAGTTTCTTCTGTATACCTGGGGTAAGAATATCTCGAAGAATATCCAGAAGGGGGTGTATATGTAAAAGGTAAAGTACCGTATGTATCTCTATAATTATTTACATTACTGAAGCTGTATGTAGTTTCTGATCCTTCCAGATCTGAAATCTTCTCCTTGTTTTCTGTAAAAAAGACGAATAATAATTATTAGCTAAAATAGTAACGAACATCTCTTTATTTTTATCAAACTTTAAACATTAATTTGATATAGATATCATAAATACTATTTTGCTCAACTTTTATGTCATCAAATCCTACATCAAACTTTCTACTTTTCGCAATGCACCATTTTTAATATGCAACAACCCAATATACCTTATCAAAATTGAATTGCAATCAACCTATTAGAACCTGTAATTCGCAATTCACTTTTCAATCACGAACATATTCTAATTTAATCATGCGTTTCGACCTGCTTATACATTTCCTAACATGTATACCCGGAACCAGATAGTCGGTGCGTAATAGAGGGGTAAAAGTACCATTTAATGGCAAACTATTGTATCTAAGGACACTAAGATTTTCCCATGGAAAAGGGCCAAGTTAGTTGAAGATGTCTATCTAAACCTTGTATCGATGCATTCTGCCTGATACGATTATCGTACCTTGGATCAAACACGTTCACCGCATCGTGAACGATCATGATCCAATGTCGACGTAATAGATCGTGAAACAGGCTCGTTCTTTAATGGCTAATGCCTTTCACTGCTTTCAGCTGGAACGATAAATGTTACACCAACGACAGATCTTATCTCGTCGACCTCTACCAAAGTGCTCGGATAGACTTTTAGCAGTATGTTCAGAATTTGCCCTAAATCCATAGGTTCATTTGTATATTTTTCATAAGGAGGGTATTTTATATTTGTACTGCTTTTTTTTCAAATTGAAGCACTTAAAGGGGTGCAAGTGACATTTAAAAAAATTGTTCTTTGATTCTAAGTGACTGGTCATTATTCATCATTATTCTTCAGCTTGTACCTTTCTAATAAGCTAAAATACTAATATCATGGATCGAATCATGAGATCATTGAATTTCTAGTCGAAAACGGAACGTGCAATATATTCAATGCACTTGTTGCACAAGTAAACTCGTTGCCCTAGTTTCTTTAGCTTCGTATTTCTGTCCCTTGCATTGATTATTAACGCTTTAACTAGCCACCGAGAAAGCAGGAACACCTGGATACCTTATAATGCAATACCCTTTTTATTTGTCTGCTTGTCTCTTGTCACAACAAACTCTTTAATTACCGTTCGAGAAAGCAGAAATCGTACGTTTAATAAAAACCCATCCAACTCTTCGAGGTATGTCCTCAACTTCTGTATCGATGGTTAACTTCCTGTTATTCGAGGAAATGGTTCAGTTGATGACATAAAAGTATCACAAAATTGCATTTATATTCCAAAATAGTATAGGAATTTAAATTCTTTCGTTTTTAGCGTTCGTGAAAATTCCTGTCGCGTATCCTGAAACAAATAAAGTCCTAGTTTGAAAGCGACAGTAAAATGCTTGGCTGACGACAAAATGCAACGGTAGTACCAATTTACGACCTCAAGTTATACTTTTTTTTACTTCTTAAGGAATGTTAGATTTTTCCATTGCAGTGCACAATGTAGGTCAAGAATAAAAAGTGCTACACAACTTCGGTTTTTATTTATAGGCGATTGCAAAATTTGAAATAAGAAATTTTGTTCCAATTTTGTGTGAGAAAATATAGAGAAGTAATCTAAATTGCAATTTTGCAAGTTTTTTAACATCAACAGTGAAAATAAAATTTTTGTATGTAGGTGTAAGCTTAGTGTTTTCCATTTCATGAATGAATAAATTAATTATGCATTCTATTGCAATATTTACGTAATATGCTAACGAACCCATTAAGAAACAATAGACTTACTCTTTTCCTATTTTTTATTTTTTTTATTTTGGATTTCACTTAATTTTTAATGAACCGACTTCCTTAGAACTTACAATCACTTTGTTGTTCTGTACCTTACCTGCATTTCCTGAGGATTCTTCTGATGTAATATTTTTTCCATCCACTGTGTTTGTTTCTAGTATCAACACGGCGAGGAATGTTGTTACTATACACCACTCTGTTTTTCTGTTCATATTTCTAAAACATAAATATTATTCATGCTGCAAAGTACTTACACTTTCTCTTTATTTTCTCCTTAATTTTCCAAGACACACATCAGTCAAATTAGGATTTTAACCACAACCGCGAAACAATTTTCTTTCAAGGCGTGTCGTGTCAAATTCTTTTTCTTACATATAAACAATATTCATCAAAAGTACATTACTTTTATTTTAATGACCTACCGTAGAAAATCTAATATAAAAAATAAATTTCATTTAATGAGCAGAAATTGAAACTAAAGATAAGACCATTTGACAAAACACTTTAATCGAGATTAAAAATAGTTACTGGCAAGTTGCGAAAAATTCACGGTTTCACGCTCTCTCCTGCAGTTCCTTGCTTTTTTGATTACCTCTATTACGAAAGCTGTCAATTAAAATGACAAAAAAGGATAGAAAAGAAGAGTCCCTTCTATGCTATCGTATTTTTTTAAATTATCCTTCGAATTTAATTTATTTTCACGCTTGATATTTTCCAAATACCTTGGAAATTGCTTCTAATGTATGAAACAGAACTGGAAGTTTATAGTATATTTTATGGTGAATGCAAATTCAACTGCAACACATCCGAGCTACATTATTCTGCATCTTGGTGCAACTGTTTCTTCGAACGTGACTTTATTCTACTTTAAACTCTCTATATCATTGCTTAAAAGGTATACAGAAATTATGCATTATTATCTAGCAACAAAATTGCACACTCTGTACTTTAAATTCTATGAAACGTAGCAGAGAGGGCTGTAGCTAAAGAATATCAGAACATACTTTGATCGAACATAATAAGTTTTCCTAAGGAATATTTTCCCCTTTTCACAGGCTTCCCGGATTTCCGACTTCCCACCCACCCCCTTAGGCTTTTTGGGGTCCTCGGGGATTCGAGGTTTCTGGCCATCGCCATAGATCTCCCCTTCTCTGTACTCCAACCTCCCCCCTTAAACGATGCAAGGGATATACTAAATATCATAATATTTAATAATTAAATTATCCTGTTTCTGAATCAATTTTTTTAATACAAATTTCCTTTTTATTTGAACAAACAGCGAATCAATTTCTTTCCTTACTCTTTACCCTAATGATGACAGATTAGAACAATCAGCAAAGCCAATAGTATTTCACCACATCCGTTGTTACATTCTAATTTTATTGCTAAAAATTGTTTGTCGTTAGAGTACGTCCCAGTGTACCTTGTCCCATGCGTAAGAAGGGAAGTTGAGGATCAAGATTGATCCTCAAATGGATAGGACAATCCAAAAATACCGGTTGACACAATCAGTTCTTACTTTCGCGCTAGATATTTCTCTATCGAAACAGAGTTACATAGCTCAGTGCTTTTGCGCTAACGAGATCCTCCGATATATGCAATTCGTGTGCAACGTGCAACAGCCCGCGATCGACTTCCGGTTGCATGTTGAACTTTTTTTGATAAGCCTCCCGTGCACGCGAAGCTCGCAAAAAGTTTTCGAAGAAAAAGGTGTATTAATGTTTTAATCGAACACTCTATAAAACAATTACTGTTTAATTTACTCATTTTTTTATAGTAGAAAATATGTGACTTGGAGAATTGTTTACAAAATAAATTCTCCGACACATTTTCATTCGATGAGATATTTATAGAAGTCAAATTTTAATCATATTTGAGAAATACAAATTGAGAATTGTTTCCTGTCTCTTAATTAACAAGATATTAGCAAGATCGCGCTTAAGCGAAACCAGTTTCCCCATTCATGGCATTCGATCGTTTTCCTTTTCTTAATTGATTACTCGTTTGATGAATCAAACTGAAGGTGAACTGACAAGGTAATTGTATCTGACGAAGTAATTTCTATCACGCAAGTGGAAACGCTAAATTACTTCCACGGATTTGTCAGTTGATTTACCACTTTCATCACGAGAAATTCCATGTAATTTGTTTAAGGAAATTTGTATTAATAAGAATTCAGGTTTCTTAAGTTTTTAAGTCAACTTATGTCATCATTTATGACACATTATCGATTCGTTCAAGGATTGGAAAAAATGTAGAAAGATCAAATTATTCATTGATTACAGGAAAATATTCTAATGATTCATAAGAAGTTAAAAAAGTCAAGGATCTTGTACTAAGCAAATCGTTAATATCTAATGAAAATCATGAAGGACTAAATGCATTCACATTTATCAACATACCGTGAACATATTTCAAAAACTATTCTTCGCGTTATTTTCTTTTGGTCTTTATGCGTAAAAAATTAAAAAATCAGAACTTGCAGTTACATTCTATCGACCTATTAAACGCTATCTGGCACCTGTTTGCTTCGATAAAAGCACTCGACACCTCGTATTTCGGTACACAACTTTCCAGGATAAAATGACTAATTATAGACCACGTTGTCCCAGCAACAATCAAGAAAATCCATTGGCTTTGCTAATTGACCGCATCTATTAAGCGTTTAACCCTTTGTTGCGTGAGTTCCTTAAAATTAAAAAAAAATATTGGATCCTATCCTCTATTGACAAGTGAAAGTAAATTAATAATGATTAAATAATTGATAAAAACTTGGATTTTAAGTTCAGAAAACTCAATCATCTTCTCAGCAGGATATACTTTGCCTTTTTAAGAAAATTGATAAATTGAAACAACGATAAAAAGGAGTGCTGGATCAAGATCAAGGTAAATGACGCTCGATGTTGAATCAAGAAATTGCATGATGATTTTTCTGTGGTCGAAAACGTGACTGATATTCTTTAATGAGAAACGAAGCGTATCCAACTCGTTTATAAATCTCACACTGAACTATTTTTTTTAACAATTTTAATGTGACTTTAGCCTTGGGGGAAGTAATTGTAAGGTCACGTAACTGTTTGCTGATGGTAAATTATTAATAAGAATTGTTAGTGTACTTTCAATATCTTTCACTTTTTTTAGTAAAATTAAATATAAATAATAAACAACTTATCTAGCCTATTGATTATCGGCTGTCACCCTACTCAGTGGATGGTTTTTAGTAGGTTTATCGCGATGAAAGGGTTAAATCTACCTTTTCAAGAACATTATGAAAGCATTGACGTAAACTACCTCTTTTCACGTACTAATACCGAATGCCTCCTTTGTTGCCTCCTTTCATAACCCAAATCCCTTGATATAATACTATATAACTTTAGAAACTGAAGCTCGGAATCCATGGTGTATACCACACCCATTGTTATCCACCTAAACAGAGCATTTTCCATGAAATTTGCATTTCTATTAATCAGAGCCTGCCGAAATTTTTATACAACATTCAGAGAAATTTGTTTGAATTATTTCTATAAGAAAATCCTATATATTCCATTTCGAAACTGTTCAACTAGATTCGAATCGCCTTGCGATATACCCGGATCTCATGTTTAATCAATAAAACTTATGATTCAGCATGAATCATGAAAAATTACCAAACGCTTTGCGACATTTTCCTGGGCGATAATGTCAAAAAGAAAGATACGTCCGGATAAAACTATCAGGAAACTAACGAAATTTTAGAATTGCGCCACTGTTCGAAGGATCAGACGAAGGACATGCGTGAGTGAACGTTGCATTTCCTCAACGAGGACCGTTCTACATTGATCAGAGACATGCTAATTCGCGAACATAATGGAAAGAGAAAGTACGAATGTGTTAAGGTACACTTGGTCCGCGGAAAGTGAAGTACTATCCACAGCAGGGGCTAATTATTCAGTTTCATCGTAATAATGATATGAACGGAAGTTGATTTACGAGATGGAAATCTGGTAAACGAACGATTGCATGTTATTTTTCCAAGGAGTTTTGATCAATCTGTTCAACTTTCAAAATAGAATAGACTGCGTCGTGGAAATAATTGCGGGTGCAACGATATATTCATAAAAAGAATAGAACCGAGTTGATTAAGACACCTGATTATGACACGTGAAACGCACTTTTTCTTTGGAAATACGTTTCTTATACTCGGCTAATCGCATAACGTTGAAAACTATTAAACATTAACGAACATTCAACGATTGTAATAAAAATTCCTTTAGGCTAAGTTTCTGAGAAGCATATTACGTTTTTGCAAACGTCGAAGGAAATGAAGAAATTGTTTCTAAAGTCGATGCTATGAAAAAATAGATTTAGCGAGCAATTAACGAGTTAAGTGGGATACCCCCCTAGCTTTAGCATTGTTTAACCTTTAATTGTCAGAATCTTCACACGGCTAATGTTTAAATGGCAAGTCCAAGGTATTTCCCCTAATCCAACTGAATGAGGACAATTTTTTACACAGTTGCATTGCATTTATCTGATGAAAAACATTAACGATAAGTGTTGTACCTGCTGGACACATTTCCTTATCACAACTGTCAGATGTGTCTCAAATATGGCCGAATATGACATGAATATGATATGTCTAAAGTTAAACACAGACCTTGTATAAATATTTTTTTACTTGATCAATATATTTACAACATCCCTGGTTATTATTGTTTCAAGTAATTCAAAGATTATCTTAATTTTTCAAGCAATAACAAAAATAAGTTCCTTTTATATGCCAGCAATTAATGATTAAAAATCATTTAGTTTAAATTATATCAACCTATCGAAGCATAAAGTTAAAAATAAATAGTTAGGCAATAGAAAAACAGATCTGTATTCAATGGAGTGTGAAAATTCACTTAGAAATAAAAAGGTAGAAAAGCAAGGGACCTTAAGAACACAACTTTTTGCCATAAAATGGAGAACTTTTTCTATATGGAGAAAATTTCAATTTTTAGAAACTTTAAACACTATAATGAACCGAAACGAAATTGGTCATCTGTCGTAAATAAAATTGAACCGACCCGAAAAGTATAACTGTGGCGAACTTTCACAGATCAACGTCACCTGTCAATCAACAAATCTTAATTCACGAGAAAGCGAATAACACATCGAAAACACCTGATCCATGGAAACGAGCATGCGACCCATAGAGAAGTAGTTTTGCAAGGTGAACATTTAACCCACCCGTTTGCTTCAACTTCAGCCTCTCGAAACACCGTACCCTTCTAGCTACCTCTGTCGATGCACAAATTGAACAAATTAAACGAAGTCACTTCATATAGAGTTGAACCCTGCCGGTTTCTCGGCCAATGTTCCAAACACGTGTTGGCAAGACGACTGAACGAATGCCAGATACGAACCGAACTTTATAAATAGTGGGAGAAAGTGCAAAAGTACTATCGCGGATCGGTAGGTACCCCACGCTTGCAGAAAAAAGCTCAATCTGCGGGCCGATTTATCTCTAAACCGCATACAATTCGAATGATTAATTCACGCCTTTAGAAAGGATCACACGCCTGACTTGTCCACTAATTTCTTTTATATCAGCCTTCTTGTGGCCGCTAGTTTTTCTCACCCTGGCAAACCAAAGTCTACGGAACTCCATAGTTTTTACATAGGAAAGTAAGGTGACCAAACTTTGGTACTGTCTTTTGATCCTTTCTAAGAATGATAAAAGATGATCTTTCTTGCTTATAATAGTTTATCGGGGGATACTTTAAATAAAGTTCACGATTTGGTGATGGATGATCTCCTCCTGTAACAGAAATGTTTAGTTAGACCAAGTGTAGATCAAGTACCACCCATGGATATGGAAATTCTGCTACTATGTCAACGTGTATCATTTCAGAAACATCATAGGTGAGATCAGGATACCCTTGGTGCTATCCCATTAATTATCTTCTTATCTCTGCTCAGTGGAGTTCAGAGAGGATCGTCAGATGAGTTAGCAGTCAGCCCTAAATCAGTGAAGATTTCATCTATTTTGGGTCCTATCAGAATAGTAAAAAATTAATACGTAATTTTATTTTTTAAGAAGGTCCTCTTTGAACTTCTAACAGATATAAAGAAAAAATTACTCTACATCTTATGGAGAGTAAGTTATTTATTGTCAGAGATGAGGAACCTGTTTAATTTAGAAGAAATCTCTTATGAATCAACGTTGACAACAATTTTGCTACTTTCTCTGCCTGAACTAAAAACACATACAAAAGTTTATAGTCATACATCTTGAATAATAATAAATAGATTTCATCTATGAGTGAATGGAACAAAACGAGGACACCGAACAATCTGCGATAGCCAAGGATAAGATATGTCGAAATAATTTTTTTTTATATCCTCATTCTTTTTGAACTGTAATCTATCTCATTCCTGATAATTGGATATCCAAGCACGTTTATTGATGTTTGAACAATTGAATTTGCAGCTGGAACGTGTGGAAAATTCACGTTTATTAATTTCATGTTTATTAAACATTGATTTAAATTAATTGCGTAATTTGTACTTTGTCATATATTATCCAAGCTTTATCATTTAGTGCATGCCAATAAAATATAATTATTGAGTTCTTCCAGTTTGAAAAATTTTATTTGCAGATCGAACGTGTGGAAAATGACGCAAATTCACGTTTATTAAGCATTGATTATTTAAATCAATTGCGTGATTTCTACTTTATCATATGTCATCCAAGTTTTATCATTTAGTGCATTCAAATAAAGTTTCCAAACGTTTTGTAAAATATTTCAATCAGGAAGTGTTTTTAAATTTCCTTTAAAATATTTTCGAGCCAACTCGATAGAATTTTAATTCAAATGACCACCTGATGTTCTATACTTTATTTCTTCGCTAAGCAGTTGGAATTCATCAACAGCTGCTTTCTCTACAAATATTATGTAATTTTATTGCAATGTGGTATAAGATTAATTAATACAATTCCTAATCAATTAACACCAAAATTGGTTGGTACCTGGAGAGTTCCTGGAGAGTAAAAGTTGACTAAGATATGGTGCTTCCACTTCAGAACTGAAGCTAAATGTTTATGAAATTCTGGCCTGTAAAGGTACAATGATCATGACCCGAATCGCATTATTCATTGCAATTATGAAAAAAAAAAAACAATATGATAAAATCGAAATTTAAAAATATTTTTTATAATGAAGTAGCAATGTTCACCCACCGATTGCTATAATAGATAGGGACGTGTGCAGTCAGCAGTATTAGAATCACTAATTAATTTTCAAATTTTAATTTGGTATCTTATTACCATAATAATAATGCTATTGAAAGTTCATAAATTCATTTATGAAATGTATTTATTTTTTTCTGTGTAATAGAATATTACACGCTCAGTTTTTTTTTCAAATTAAAGTTTCTTTCAATTGTTTATATGAGTATTTGAAGGACTAAAAAGAAAAAATTTTAAACAGGATTCATAGTCGATTGCTCCTCTTCCGCTATCGTAAACGTTCTGGCAAAAGTGAATTAGTATGCTTTCTATGTAGCACCAGTTCAACGATTCAAGAACAAAAAATGACATTTTCTTTCAGGACAAAACGCATCATCGCGATTTCTTCTTTAATGAGATATTTATGCGTAACGCGTTTAGTTCCGCATTATTATTCATCATTCTCGATTAGTTTCTCCATTTATCTCTTTCTCTAAACGTAATCATTCTGGAAGATGCTTTGATTTATTTCTGTTTTTGTTTTCAAAATTAAATTCCTTTATGTAATTTTTATTAAAAATTTTTATTAGATTTTTATTCTTTTGACGTCAAATTCTCTGCGTCTTGTTATTCTCTGCAAAAAAATTACTAACAATAAGGTAGTTGGATGAGATCTAAAAAGGAAGAAATATTTTCTTTATTTTTTTTTTTTAATATTATTTCCTTTATTTTCTAAGTGCGCAATACGATTAGAGCCTGTTATCTTGATAGATTTCGATAACAGTTTTGTGTTGAATTCCATAAGTACAAGAAACCCTAATCCACATACAAAACGCTCAATAGTATTACTCTCTTCTTAAAAACTAATCAGTCATACTCCATATATACCTAAACGTTGTTTCGATCGTTATACAGTCATGCAAAATAATGCGAGCACTGAGCAGAATTTCCTTCGAATTCATTCTCGAATAGTGGAGAAACGAAAACGAAACAACAAAATATAATTTCTACTTTTTGGGCGAATTTGAATACGTCTATGTGATTTTGAATGAGAGTCGAGAAATATTGAGAGCCACATCATTTTTTCTTTTTTTTTTTTTTCCTTTTCGTTTAACAATCGACATTCAACAGTTTCAAAGAACTGTATAGTAATGATTTCAATGAATTGCAAGTGAAAAATATAAAAATTATCGTAAGAAAATATTAATAAATACCTCTTCTAATATATGTATACTTCATCGTCAGACCTTTCTTGTTTTTGTAATTTTCACTGAGCAAACATCATTAATCATAATTTAAAAAAATATATTGCTCTGATTTTGAAATTCAATTGTTTATATAGTGTACTTATTTATGAACACCTCTGATAACGTCCAACAGTGTACTGCATCTCTGTTACAATATCGATTATTTCCCGCAAATTTATTGCTCTTTCGAATCCTCTTTCTTTGATCCTAAAACTCATTCTTATTCTCTTTGCATTTTTCGTGCATCGCTTCGAATCATTTTGATAATATTGTCGTGCTTCGCTTAACAAAATCGAGACACTACTATAACGTAATTCTTAATTAATTAAATTAATCCATCGAGATCGTATACCGTCTTCCTATTGTTCATAAGACGACTTTTATGTGTGTACAATCATGGCACTGTTTTTCACGTCGACAAGAAAACAAATGCAGAAAAATAATTTTTATTTAAACAAGTCACCTCTTATTCTTCATGATTGTACCATCGTCGATGAGTCAAAATAAAAAACAAAAATACGAAAAAGGAAAATACGTGGGACCACGATGGATTAAATATGCAAAGACGAATACTTACTCTCATTCACTCACTTTATACACTGTCCCACGGAGCATCAAGAATATCATGCGAAAAAGAAAATTGAAACCAAATTCTATACTGATTTGCTTGGAACTACTATCGCGAAGGCAAATTGTTAAAAATAAAAAATAAACAATTTTATTATACTTCCATCGTCGATATTAATTTTGCCCAAGCAACAAAACTACTGCGAGTAGGGCGAATTGTTGAATAGACCTAAGATATTAAAAGAAAAAGTTCCACTCTGACTCATTGAATAATACCAATAATTAAACGGTAATAAAACAATGGATTCTCTGAAGCAGCATGATCTCATGAACGCTAACTCCTAAACTGAAACATATTCTAATCGTAAGATTAAAGGATCAGCGTAATCTACGTTATTCAGCTTCTCTGACACGTTCATTCTCCCATATACATCGACAAAGTTTACTCCACGCTATTCGTAAACCTATTCTAAAAAGACTTTTTTCACGGGGTTTAAATTGTCACACTGCGGTCATCCCCACTTATATATTTGTCTTTTCTCCGACCGATTTGTTTTGTTCGTTCAACGCACAACCCTTTGGCGTGCTCGTTTAATCGACTAGTCACTAGTTTACAGCTGCACCTTGTTCGTTTCTTAATCGTCGCGTACTGCGTGTACCGTTGCCCTTTTATTATTCATCCCCCCTTCGTCATCTGCGCGTTAACACACGCGATTTCACGGCAAAAACCTTCTTTTTTTTCCCTTAGTTTATTGCTAATGTCACGTCGACGATACATGGATCCGGCTTCGATTTGGATCAATCGTCAAAGTTCTTCGGATTAAGGTATTTTTGTCGTCTTTCTGTACCCCCTATCACGCCCGTTCAGCGACCCGGGCAATTCGATGCGGCGATGTGACCAGCCAATTAAAGGGGAGTATCAACGGTAAGCCTTGGCCCTTTCCGCCCAGGCGAATAAGTCCACGCTAGGGATCGCTTCGAAATCCGTACAGGATCTAAGCTTGTTCCTGTTGAATCATAATTTACATATTTTATAGTAGTTTCATTCTTAAATGTTTAACTGAGGGCATTCTTGGTGATCGTTGTGATGCAGCTTTAAAATAAATAATAACTTCTCATAAAAAATAGATGGGATGATGAACGGTCTTCAATTTGTGGTCTATTGAGTTGAACAAATAATTCCTACTGAAACTTAATGATAGTTTAAAAATCGAAAAAAAGAATTGCTAAATGTTCATGAAATAAATATTGTTACAAATGTAGAGCTGAACAAAGGTGAAATGTAAAAATTAATTGACTTACCCTGCTTGTGGTCTGATGAATACATTCGGCTGTATTTGTGTAATGCTGTTACCATTATCACAAAATACTCTTGCCAATGTTACGTTACGTATCTCCGCTAATTGTGCTGTAACAAAAATACATTCGTTAATTAGAAAAGATAATATTTCTAATGATAAATTAAATCCCATTCCTATTTCTGAAATGTAATGTGATGGCTGTTCAACGCTGAATCGCACTTACCAGGTGTGAAAGGATATGGCTGATACGCCGAATCATAGAAATATCTGTCAGTGCGATGAGTTCTTGAGAACTGTTCAAAGATCAAGCAACGGAAAGTTGGACCCAACAGTCCATCTTCCAATGGCCTTTCGGCCATTCCACCAATAAGAAGGTCAACATCGTTAGGATGAGTGTAAACATCGCGCAATTTTTTAATCATCTATCGACAAAACAAAATTAAATTTATAATTTTCTTTTTTTAATTCTTGTTTACCTATTTTAGAAGAAAACATAGCAATTTTGTTTTTATTATAAAATTTAACAATTTATCCTGTGACGATAATTTGCATTAATTTACCTCTAATGGAATGTAATCTAAAAAGTCATCAAAGTTCTTGGCAGCTGGAAGGCCACAGTATTTGCGATAATGATTGTAGCCTGGTAATCCGTGATCACGACCACGCTGAATGTCCAAACTGATACCATCTAAACCCAGGCTGTCTCGGTTTGTTGCGTACAGCTTGCTAGTAATCTATACATCGTGGAATGATTCAGATTTTATATTGACAGTCTGATAATGCTTCCATTTACCTAATTATTTATTATTAATCGATTCATTCCCAAAGGTCGATATTATTTTGAAGATAGTAGAATTTTATAATCGTAGAACTTCGAAATAAAAAAATGTTCCTATAAAAGCATACTTACATCTTCAATTACGCTGATATCCATTTTCTGACTGGACTGAGTAGCCATACCACGAATCAATCCATCGAATACTTCATCCGACTCGATTACACTAGGTTTAAAGAAGTATTCCGCCAACGAAAGTGTTTGGTTGACTAGACGTGCATTATCCGTCAAACTGTAACAAAGTAATTACACGTACACGTTAAAAAATGTGATATTACATTTAGAAATTTAATTTTACCAAAATAAAAAAAAATAAAAAACCTCAATTTTCCTTGCATCAAAGAAGTCATGAAACGGAGAGCAGCTGTTGCGACCTCATTACTGACTGCTGGATCGTCTACAGAGTTGTAGTTGTGACTATAACTGCCTCCACCGTTAACACCAATAGCTCGGGTATACTTTTTGCCCAACAATATGGGCAGCCATTCTTTGTAAGTGATATGCTGAATTTCAGCAATTACTATGCGTCTGGCTTCTTGATATAGTTTCTCATCGGACCAGTGTGGATTCAACACAACAAGTTGATCAGCAATTCTATTGTGTTCGCGATGCCAGACGGTGTGTATCACAGCCAGCTGGGGATGTGTATTTACACGGTGATCACCTGTAACAAAATCAGCAATTCTATGGTTATTATGGTTCATTAATTATTGAACTTTTCCGTTAAGGTTACCCTTGATAATAGCTGCTCTGAATTTAATTAATTTATTTGAAATTACCGGAATCGTAACACCCTTCCAAGCAATAGGGTGCGATTTCCACGCCTCCGATTGGCAAGAATTCATGGCTATTGTCCTTGTGAACTCGTAGTCGACCTCCTTCGAACGTACGAAGTTCGCGAGCTTTTTTCAAGTTCGAACCATAGATTGCTGAACCATCCAAGAAGTGACTAGCTTGGTTCATCTGTTACAATGATTAACAGAGTGCTGAATTCCATTTTAAAAAATGAAACTAATTTTTACCGTATCAAAGCTATAATTCTTCGCAATTTCTATTGAGTGCACGACGAACTTACTTGTTCGATAGGTCCGAAGGTGCACTCTGATCTGAGAACAGGTAAAGATCGCACGTAATTCATGCATCGAACGTAATGTTGGCCATAAACAGGGTCCCGATCAGGCACTGTAATCGCAGAACAGTCAGGATGAATGTGTCTAGGTGACAGGGTGCTTCCGTCTGGGCGACAGCAAAATATCGGTTTTCCTGATGAAACTGAGAACAATTAAAAATGGAATTAAATATCGTGGAAAACGAACATCGATATCTGTACTTCGCATCGAACTGTGCTTACTCATTTTCCGCACTGGGGTGTAAGAGATGTCGTTTGCAATAAACTGGCCCCATTGCACGACCGTCAACGTTCTACTGACATCCGACAGACCATTAGGCGTCGACAGAGCCACGCTTACACTCCTGGCACCAGGTAGCGGTTTTTTCGTGTGCCCCATACGCCTCGGTTCTTGAATTCCTGGTCGCCAAATTAAGCATTAGACTCGTGTTCGACGTATCAGCACGTCGTCAAATCGGAGTAACACT